ATGATAATTCCCTTGAAATGTGCAGACCACATCCTTACATCCTGGTCGACAAGGAAACACGCGGTAATGTGGTTATCTTTACTCCGTGACTAAGCTGCCTTCCTTGCACCAAGATTAAGCTGTCTGTCCTCCTTGGTGACCACGCTGCTTGCCCATCTCCATGTTTAATCTGCCTGCCTAACATCCCAGCCCTCCTGATACTAGATCATAGTGTCTTCACTACTTCACTCTCGACAACAGCCTCTAGTGAACACTGTAAGAAACTCAAGAGAAGAGAAGAGGAATGGAGGCTGGAGGCGTCATGAAGTCACCTCCCATATGGTGCTTGCCTACACACATGGAGGCAATCTTGCCAGTTTTCACAGTGATGAGGTGTCCTGCTGGTTCCTTTATTGCCAGCCCGCGGCTCGGGCATCCTAACAGTAGCGATTTACAACGTTGAGGTAGCTCGTTATCCTCCTGGTTTGCCCAATAGCTAGGTCGACTGTTTAGCTGTCATTCATGATTTAAGACGCTCCGCTAACGTGTCCCAAACGAGAGTCCTCCGTAAGTCAAAGAGCAGCGTCGAGGGATGACCCTACAGCAGTACATCCCAGTTCTCCCTTCCTGTCAATGCTCCTCCCTGCTACCTTTCCTGCCTCAGGCGGGGGTGGTGGTGGGGGTAGGTAGGGGCTGACCCCTGGAACCCTGGGGTCACGCAGCTTCCATGCACCAGGAGTGGAAAGATGCCTCGGGGTAGTGATGTGCTTTTTGTGAGGCGAGAGATCTTGTCCGGCTGGTAATCGGGTGAGGGAGGGAAGGTGTGAGGGGAGGGGGAGAAGGGGGAAGTGGAGGAGAAGGGGTAGAGGGGGGGAGGGGTGAGGGGGAAGGTCTTGGGTGAGAAGGTGGTGGATAGTGTGAGCGAGGTGGTGAGTGGCAGGTGGTGAAAGATATTTGTGGGGGTAGGTGGTGGTAGTGGTGGTAATTATGGTTGTGAGTGGTTGTTGTGGTGGTAGACGTAGCGGTGCTCTGCGTGATGACGGACGGACGGACGGACGGACGGACGGACGGACGGACGGACGGACCGACCGACGAGAGAGAGAGAGAGAGAGAGAGAGAGAGAGAGAGAGAGAGAGAGAGAGAGAGAGAGAGAGAGAGAGAGAGAGAGAGAGAGAGAGAGAGAGAGAGAGAGAGAGAGAGAGAGAGAGAGAGAAGAGATTGATTTTCATAAATCATGAATTTAATTATGAAAAAACAGCGGTGACAAAAGTCCATATTTATTAGTGTCCAGTTGTTTCTCTAATTGGTATGCGTCTAGCAACTTGAAGTTTGGTAGCCTTAGTGATGTGTGGCGACACTGAGCCTTAGCTGAGCTTGTATATAGCGGATCAGTAAACGAAAATATAATGAATAGGTGGCGGCCTGGCCGAGGCTGATGAAGCAGATAGGGAAATGAATGAAAGCGAGGAAGGAACAGCTGAGTAGGCAAGTAACAGCTGAGCAGGCAAGTAACAGCTGAGCAGACAAGTAACAGCTGAGCAGACAAGTAACAGCTGAGCAGGCAAGTAACAGCTGAGCAGACAAGTAACAGCTGAGCAGGCAAGTAACAGCTGAGCAGGCAAGTAACAGCTGAGCAGACAAGTAACAGCTGAGCAGGCAAGTAACAGCTGAGCAGGCAAGTAACAGCTGAGCAGGCAAGTAACAGCTGACCAGGCAAGTAACAGCTGAGCAGACAAGTAACAGCTGAGCAGACAAGTAACAGCTGAGCAGACAAGTAACAGCTGAGCAGGCAAGTAACAGGGTGAGATGGCAAGAAATAGGTACACAAGCAGAGATTACTTATAGAGCAATTAGAGGCAGGTAAAAAGTAGAAACAAGGAGCAGGGAGGGGGGGGGAGGAGGGGATGTACGGAACAGGTAGAGAAAAGATTTGGATCAGGTTGAGAACAGTTACGGAACAGAGAGTGATCGAGTGAACGAATCACTCTCTATTCGAATCAGTGAATCCCAAGGTCCTATGAATGGAGGCTGAGACTAAACGCAAAACTGAATCTCCTCAAACACAATTACATTGAATGCAATCGGATAAGAATTGGGGAAAGGGGGGGGAAGCCAAAAATTATAGATGGGGGCAGGCTGGTAACTTGAGTGGATATGTGTGTGTGTGTGGAGGGGGAGGGAGGGATATGAGGATGGGGGGGGAGGATGTTGCAGGATGAGAAACGAGAGCAGAACAACTGCAGGGGGTCAAGTCTGGATTATTGTTGGTAGTGGGGAGGGGCTTTGGGGGGCACGGGTTCTACTGTGGCTTGCAGGCCGGGGGCGGGACGAGCGGGTGGGTGGGTGGCCTAGGCCAAGAGAGCAGGCCGGGGACAGTGGAGGGCAGGCCGAGGGAGCAGGTTGTGCGGCCAGCAGGGTCAATGGAGCAGGTAAGAGGCGGCTGTAGGAGTGGGTGAGGCGCGGCTGGAGCCTGCAGATACAGTGGCAGGCTCGGCCTACGTGGCGGCAGGCAGGATACGATGAGGCAAGTGGCAGATTGGCAACCTTGGGACAGGTGGCGCTTGTTAGATGGTTGGGAAGGTCGGGGGTGGGGGGGATGTGTGGGTGGGGAAGGCTGGGGGGGGGGAAAGGGAAGGCCGGGGGGGGGGGGAAGATATGTGGGTGGGGGGAACTGACATAATGCGAGGGTAAGAAGCTTACATATACCGGCTGTGTGGACAAACTGAAGGATGACGATGTTCAACGATGTGTTGGGGAAGGGACGTTGATAGGCAAGAAGGTTGTGATAAAGAATGGGAAGCTGGAATGTGAAATGGGAAGCCTGAGGCATTCAGGAATGTGTACTGATGTGTCGCAGGACTGGAAGAGAGGAAGCGTGCACTGGTAGCGGAATCAATTGTGTGAAAAGCGATAAGAACTATCAGTAAAATGAGGCAGATTTCAACGATTCATCAATGACAATTAATCGCTCGTTTTCACATTCTCTTACAATACCTCCGGTCATAAGGGTTCGAACTCTGTGCCCCGAATACGTTAATTTGATAGAATTTGCGTCCCAAGTCGGGTTGGCATGAAAGTATCCTTCAGCGTAAAATAAAACTGAAAAAGATGTAAAGAATGTGGTGTAAAAAAGAAGAAAACCGGAATCCGAGTGGATTGGGAGTGACCCCGCGCGGCGTGTCTTAGATTATACAGACAAGTGGTCAAACCGGGCTGAGATTGACTCCGCGTGCCGTCTGCTGCAGCCAACGCAGACGTGGGACCACTTCGTGCGCTGTCTGCCGTTCTCAAGGAGCCACTCCTTACGCTGTCTGCCGTTCTCAGGGGGCCACTCCTTAAACGCTGTCTGCCGTTCTCAAAGGGGGCACTCCTTACCAACTGTCTGCCGTTCTTAAGGAGCCACTCCTTACGCTGTCTGCCGTTCTCAACGGGCCTCTCCTTATACGCTGTCTGCTGTTCTCAAAGGAGCCACTCCTTACGCTGTCTGCCGTTCTCAGCGGGCCACTCCTTACACGCTGTCTGCTGCAGTCAACAGACCACTGCTGTGGCTAAAGTAGACAAGAAACTATTTCGAATGCTGTTGTCTGCAATCAAAGCAGACAAGGGCCCATTCTGTTTGCTGCCTGCTGCAGTGAAGGCAGAGAGGGCTCACTGTGCATGTGTTGCTTGCTAGATAAACGGGCCTCTGCGTACACTGTCTATCGAATAGACGGTGGTATCTGTATCTGATGACCCAAAGAGCATTGTATTAATTGCACACGTATGAGCGGACTTCCCACCCTTATACTAACGGGAAGCTTCCCCCTTATACTAATAATAATTATTGAATAATAGTAATATGCTATAGTAATAATAATAGGAATAATAATAATACTAATGACTCTTCTTCTTCCAAATATAGAACAAATATTACGAGTGAAATGACGTTGAAAATCCGTAGACTTAAATATGTTACTGAAATCCAAATCATTAGATCCAATCAGACTTGGCCGATATAGGATCCCTGAAGCATTGGAACTGCTTCTTCCGCTCGGGTGCTTTTGCTGTCCTCATAATACATCCATAGCCAGTCATTATATTGGAAACCATTCTGAGATGGGAGATTATAATTGCATCATGAAGCTATACTTACTTTTGACCAAACTATATCACCCTTCGCCTGGTCTATGGGTACTTGTACAGCTGACCAAGTATACCTATGTTAAGACAAGATGTGTGGGTGTGGGTTGATTGTGTAATTAATATTTCAATACAGCAGAGCTCGTTCATTGACAGGTGTGTGTGTGTGTGTGTGTGTGTGTGTGTGTGTGTGTGTGGGGGGTGGGGGGGGGTGGGGGGGGAGAGGGGGTAGTAATTGTGGTGGTGGAAGGTAGTGGTAGCATGGTGGTGGTTGTTGTGGTGTTGTGTGTAGGGAGGTTAATGAGGGATAGAGACGGTGGTGTGAGGTAGGACATGGTGGTAGGGGGGGGGGGGGGCGGGGTGGGGTTGTGAGGTGGGACACGAGGGGGAGGAAGGGGAGAGGGGTAGTGGGGTGGTGATGTCGGTCTGGGGGAAGGGGGTAAGGTGCAGGGAGAGGGGGTGTGGAAGCCGCCGTTCTCCTGACGAAGAGGTTGAGACAAAGTCACCAGGCGTCAACAGAGGCCGGGGTGAGGCAGGTGTATGGAGAGGTGGCCATCCCAGGGTGAGTGAGAGAGTGAGTGAGAGAGAGGGATGAGTCTGGTGGCAGCGACGCAGGGGCAGCAATTATCAGGGGGTTGCCCGCGGAGAGCGCCACACCCTGGCGGCGCCACACCTGGCCAGGTGAAGCAGCGGGCAGCAGCACAGCAGTAGTGACGATGGTGGCCTGCCTGACCCCCACACCCCGCCTCGGGCACCCCACCAGACCCCTCCCCCGACCGCGGCCCCGCCCACGGTCACAACCCCTAACACCTTATTGGTCGGCGAGGTCACGTGATCCCTTGCCAGCCTTATAAAGGTGACGCGTGGCGGGGCAAGGGTCAGACCTGTGTACGATACAGAAGCCGACATGTCTGTGTCAGACTGGTACTTCCCCTTGTCGAATCCTGGCTACTCGACCCACCTCGACCACACCTCCGTGTTCCTCGACCAGCTCGCCGCCTGCCCAAGCCCACCCTACACCACCGGATCCTACACTCTACCCACACAGTGTTCCAACGGTGTTTCCTCTAAAGAAACCAGTAACTGGTCGACTTCGGAAGGCCGAAGTTCGTCTGATGGCCGGCCGAGTCCCTCGTGCTCTCCGTCGAGCAGCTGTGAGAGTGTCGAGGGAGGGACTCAAGGGTGGAACTCACACGTGGCTGGTCCCTCCTCCTGGTCCTGGGGCGCCCCTGGCACTACACATCCCGTCCTGGCCGCAGCCTCTAACTTCAACAGCCCCGAGTGTTCCTTGTCGGAGTCGCGCGGCCGACAGGCTAAGTGTCGCCGAAGACCGCCCAAGATCGTCGGCCGCGAAGTGATAAAGAAACGTCGACTGGCGGCCAACGCTCGGGAGAGACGTCGAATGAACGGCCTAAACGACGCATTCGACAAACTGCGCGAACATATCCCGGCTCTGAGTGGCGACCAGAAACTTTCAAAGTTCGAGACCTTGCAGATGGCGCAGACGTACATCTCGGCCCTGGTGGAGCTACTGCAGTAGCCAAGGGGCAGCGGGCGAGTTATATCTGGTCAGCTGCCTCACTCCTGTGTTGTCGGCCTTCGACGTCTGCTCCTGTGAACTTCAGTGCCGCGAGTGTCTCTCACTGCCGTCATCGCTTCTCAGTCACTAGTGTCACCGCTATACTCCAGTGTCACTCCTACTCCCAGTGCGCCCATTACTCAGTCACCAGTGCCGCCGCTATACTCAGTTCCCCCTGTGCGCCCATTTCTCCAGTGGCATTGTTACTTAGCCACCAGTACTCTCAATACCGTCACTAATGCCTCGGTAATTTAGTGACCACTGCCCACCGCAACTAGTTCGCCTGTTACACTGCAAATCGGTTAATACTGCCATGGAAACTCGGTCACCAGTGCCATGATAACTCGGTCACCAGTGCCATGAAAACTCTGTTCCCAGTGCCATGGCAACACAGTTACCAGTGCCATGGCAACTCGGTCACCAGTACACGCTGTAAACAAGGACTGAGTGTCCGTCTTGTCCTGTGAGAGGATAATTCTGGACCTCATATAAAGCGTCGTCCGTCTGTCTCGTCTAGTGTTGAAGTGTCCCGTCTCCTAGCGTCGTCGAGGAGTGACGGAAGGAGTGCTGGGGTGTGGGACTCGTCCGGAGGTGTCACTCTTAGCCTGTAGCGGGAGCTAGCAGTCAGAGCGCCCACAGCACGAATGCTTATCGGAAAGACGTTACCAAAAATTTGTACATTATATACATATATATATAAAATATATATATATATTCACAACTGGCTCAATTTAGTGTTTATTTGTACATATCACGAATGAATGTATATATCTTGTAATATAAAAATGAACTATTTTGTTAATAAAACGTAAGAAATGTTACATTTTGGTTTAATAACACTCCTTCAATGAAATAATATATAAGCCAAAAGCAGGTCTTGTCAAACATGATATATATGACAGTCACCTCAAGTGTTATATGAAAAAAAATGCAGTAATTTGAAATAACATGGGCGGCAGAGTCTTCTAAATGTTGCTATATCCACCAATACGAAAGGTAACAAGAATATTAACTTTTTAACTGTTGTGATATAAGCTCCTTCCTTCTAGTGAGACAAACAATTTTAAGGTAATTAAATCGCTACACTTATCAGCCGCTGCAACACATTCAGAAGGTTGTAAAGATAATCTTATTTAATTTTATGACAATAACCTTAACCAGGATCTCTAATCAAGTAAGCATTTAGGGCCAAATCTTGACCTGACAGTGATTAAGCATCAGTTTCTCTTGTCATTTCTTAATTTGAAGAGAAACCTCTCTTCAGGTAATTTTTCACCTGGCTATATTGTCAGGTTTCATGCATACGAAGTGTACTCAGACTACACAATTGTTCACGTAATTAAACTTCAATATTTGTTAACTGTGTTGGCAAGTCATTTAAAGATAAGTCAGCGATAAAGCGGTTAAAAGACATTTTACAATAAAACATTTAATAAGACAACCTAAAAACTCTTCCACGTATTTAAACGATGATTCTTGATTTCCCTGGCAAAATATTATCTTTAAGATATATTTATTTATCTAGAGTAAATACCTGTGTTTACATTATTAAATATAAATAAACGTTTTTTGTATATACAGCAAATTCATAAAGGATCATTAAGAAAATTAAGCAATCACAAGCTGACTGATCATGGAGGTATCGAGATCTTTTATCATTAAAAATCAGCAACCTTCAAATCACGTATTCACATGCAGTTCAATAAACGAATAACAATACTGAATAATTTCATTAAAAATGAATAATATTCCTGAATATTGAACCCCCTCAAGACGTATTTTGAGCAGTTACAGTAATGTATTGGATTAAATAACTTAGCCCTGTGTTAATAGTATACATGTTATGTACCGTGTACTACATTACAAAGTACTGTACACTACCAAGGAACTACACATTACTGAAGCACTGTGCACTAAAGAAGTACTACAGACTTTCGATTTACTATGCGCTGTTGAAGTGCTCAACACTTCTGAATTGTTGTACACTACCAAAATACTGCATAACACTAAAGTATTGTACTAAACACTTTTCAAGTACTAAATATTACTGATGTACACTACTGAAGTACTGTGTGCTACCGAAGCAATGTTCACGAATAAAGTACTAAATATTAATAATAATACTTCATTGTGTCGGGGGACAGGGAGCCAGTGTATTGATATATAGGTTAGGCTTATATAGAGGTCCCCACAGGGTCGAATACCTGACCCTCCCTCCCCCCTGGATGCAACAACAATCTGTCTATAACCCCTGGGTACCAACTTACTGGTAGGTGAACAGCAGCATTAGGTGATAAGAAACGGGCCCAACTATTGCTTTCCCGGCTGGGATTCGAACCAGGAATTTTCGCTTGTGAGTCGAGAACGAGCCCGGCTGAACTACCGGGACCCCTTAACAAGATTTTTAGTACTAAAGTACTAATCACTACAGAAGAACGACACGAAAATCACTGTCAATCGATATTGAAAAAAACAAATAGTTACTGCCCCTCGCGTGTTAATTATCGCTGATCAACTCTTAAGACGTAAAGTCTGGCCGTCCACTGTATATGTCTTCTCACCTTCATATCAACACTGTCATGATCACCTTATGACATGCTTAAACTGCTCCCCATGGAAATGAATTAATTCAAGAATATGACATGCTATTTAAAGCATGGAAAGACATCTTAATTGATTTAGAGATAATCCCAATAACCATTAAAAGAGAGACAATGCCAATTATATTACATTTCAAATGCTTATCTTTTGTTGACAAATATTCGCCTCAGTAATCCGAAAATGTTTCGAATGCCGCATATATGGATTTAATTCTGCGTTAAACACCAAAGGCGGCGTTGTCCAGTTTACCATTAAATGCTATAGCTTAACACTCGTGTATGAGTCATAAACGCCACATGCTAGAAAATAATAACGTGCAGATCACCAGGCACTATAGACTCGTATAAGTTGCCTTAAGCCTCCTAGTGAACAAGAATATTGTTTGTACATTAAAATATAAATATATGAAATCAGACGGCTTGACTTATTCTGTGGTCAACATCTGGAGACTATTACTACCGACCCTCGGACGGGGAGGCAGCGTTGAAGTCTCCCTGCGGCAACTCAGCAGTTACTCAACTGCAGGTCTGAGGAATTACGTAGTTTGCTCTGTTTTACTCACAACCACGCACACCCATCGCATCCCCGCCTGCACACACGCTCTACCACACACACACACACACACACACGCTCTACCACACACACACATACACACGCTCTACCACACACACACACACACACACACATGCAACGCAATACGTATCAAGTAAGACACGGAAAATTAATAAAAGCAAAACAAGGAGAAGCAATAAACACAAGAAAGAGTTTTACTTGGAAATCTTTACATCTGATCTCTTTCAAAGAGTTCAGCCCCTAGGAGAAGCTATACAATTAAGCCTTAAATCGTGTGTTGACGAACTAGATTAGGTGAGCAAAACAAAAGGTTCATCCGTTCATCCCTCTCCCTCCAGCAACAAACGGAACAGGTTTAAAAAATCAAACCACTTGCCCTATTAGAAAAATAAAGAAAAAAAACCTGCTTGGGAATTTTACAAATCAGTACTATTGCACAAAGTTTTACTTACTATTTAGTCATGACAATAAGTTTGAAATAGAGTAAATCCTGTACTCTGGCAAATAAGTGCCTAGCAGAATGTTAAATTGTTCGCTAAGCGGCATGTTAAGTGAGCCCGCTGAACAGAGCACTCATGGCCTATAGATTCACGCTAAAACTACACTCTATTGACGGATGCTGAATGCAAGCAATTCAGTTAAGATATCAGGAAGCTGCTGAACATGGCCTTTCAGATGAGAGGACACAAATCCTCAGTTAAGAAACATAAAATATACACAAAGTGATTTGTAGAGTCGAATAAAATTACAAAATATATCAACAAAATTCTCTAAATATATTAAGCAAACAATCTATACACAAAGAAAGAAATATAAAACAGATTGAGAAAAGAGAGAGGAGAAAGAGTGAGAAGGAGAGAGAGAGAGAGAGAGGAGAAAGAGTGAGAACGAGAAAGAAAAAAAGTGAGAAAGAGGGAGAAGAAAGAGAGAGGAGAAAGAATGAGAAAGAGAGAGAGAGAGGAGAAAGAATGAGAAAGAGAGAGAGAGAGGAGAAAGAATGAGAAAGAGAGAGAGAGAGGAGAAAGAATGAGAAAGAGAGAGAGAGGAGAAAGAATGAGAAAGAGAGAGAGAGAGGGCAAAGTGTTAGCGAGAAAAAAGAGAAAGAGAGAGACAGAAAACCACAGAGATGTAGAATATCCAAGAGAGCCTCAGCTTATTACGTAGTAAAAAAAAAGAGATGGACAAGTGAGAAATACAGAGGTGAGAAAGAGAAATACTTACATACGAAATTGAGTTTGGAGTGTGAGAAAGTGAATAAGGCAAACATAATGTAGATATGAGAAATTGAGAGAAAACAAAAATGAAACATTAAAATTGAGAATTATACTAAAATATGGCTGAGATTATGAAGCATAACAAAATATGAATGTTGGCAGAGATAGACAGGAAGACTAGGAGACAGAGAGTGAGAGTTGGGCAGAGAGTGAGAGTTGGGCAAAGAGTGAGAGTTGGCCAAAGAGTGAGAGTTGGCCAGAGAGTGAGAGTTGGCCAAAGAGTGAGAGTTGGGGAGAGAGTGAGAGTTGGGCAGAGAGTGAGAGTTGGGCAGAGAGTGAGAGTCTGCCAGAGAGTGAGAGTTGGCCAAAGAGTGAGAATTGAGGAGAGAGAGAGAGTTGGCCAGAGAGTGAGAGTTGGGCAGAGAGTGAGAGTCTGGCAGAGAGTGAGAGTCTGCCAGAGAGTGAGAGTTGGCCAAAGAGTGAGAGTCTGCCAGAGAGTGAGAGTTGGCCAAAGAGTGAGAGTTGGGCAGAGAGTGAGAGTCTGGCAGAGAGTGAGAGTCTGGCAGAGAGTGAGAGTCTGGCAGAGAGCGAGAGTTGGGCAGAGAGCGAGAGTTGGGCAGAGAGTGAGAGTTGGGCAGAGAGCGAGAGTTGGGCAGAGAGCGAGAGTTGGGCAGAGAGCGAGAGTTGGGCAGAGAGCGAGAGTTGGGCAGAGAGTGAGAGTTGGGCAGAGAGTGAGAGTTGGCCAGAGAGTGAGAGTTGGCCAGAGAGTGAGAGTTGGGCAGAGAGTGAGAGTCTGGCAGAGAGTGAGAGTCTGGCAGAGAGTGAGAGTCTGCCAGAGAGTGAGAGTTGGCCAAAGAGTGAGAGTTGGGCAGAGAGTGAGAGTTGGGCAGAGAGTGAGAGTTGGGCAGAGAGTGAGAGTCTGGCAGAGAGTGAGAGTCTGGCAGAGAGTGAGAGTTGGGCAGAGAGCGAGGGTTGGGCAGAGAGTGAGAGTTGGGCAGAGATTGAGAGTTGGGCAGAGAGTGAGAGTTGGGCAGAGAGTGAGAGTTGGGCAGAGAGTGAGAGTTGGCCAGAGAGTGGAGAGTTGGGCAGAGAGTGAGACTTGGGCAGAGAGTGAGACTTGGGCAGAGAGTGAGACTTGGGCAGAGAGTGAGACTTGGGCAGAGAGTGAGACTTGGGCAGAGAGTGAGACTTGGGCAGAGAGTGAGACTTGGGCAGAGAGTGAGACTTGGGCAGAGAGTGAGACTTGGGCAGAGAGTGAGACTTGGGCAGAGAGTGAGACTTGGGCAGAGAGTGAGACTTGGGCAGAGAGTGAGAGTTGGGCAGAGAGTGAGAGTTGGGCAGGGAGTGAGAATTGGGCAGGGAGTGAGAATTGGGCAGGGAGTGAGAATTGGGCAGAGAGTGAGAATTGGGCAGAGAGTGAGAATTGGGCAGAG